AAACTGGTACAGTATCACTTAATGTTATTAAGAACTTCTTTTCTTAAATTGTAGCAATTTCAGGCCTCTTAGACTTCTATTTTACTCTTTTGGAATATCAAATAAGCCGCATTCACGATTTGCAGGTAAAGATGCATCTAAAAGATTTAAATTTTTATGTATTATTGAGCATTCTTTTATATAATTTTTATTTTTTTTTAAATTTAAATAGAGGAATGTAAAGTATATAAATTAAAATAAATAAGGTGATTATAAATTCTAATATATATATATTTAATATATTCATTGTAATATATTATATAAATATAATACAAATAAGGATTAAATAATAAGGATTATAATAAACAATTCCATATTATTATTCACCTATTTTTCTTGGATATGGAAGATTTAAATTATCCATTATTTGTATAAATTCCTCTAAATTCTTTGTTAAACGTGGATTATATTGTTTCTCTTCCCAAACAGAACTCTCTAATTGTCCTCTGAAATTAAAAAATTTATTTTTCAATTAAAATAATTTCTCTTTTATGCAGTTAACTTACTTGTAATCATGTGCTGGATAAATTCTGAAGTTTTCCGGCAATGTAAAAATTTTTTCATGTACATTCTCATACAGGCTTTTTGAGTTGCCTTCTTGAAAATCTGTACGTCCACAACCACGTATAAGTAATGTATCACCGGTAAATACACATCCTTGTTCGTGCACTACAAAAGTCATGCAACCGTTGGTATGTCCAGGCGTTGCTAAGGTGTTAATGGTATGACGTCCAAAGGTCACAGTGTCACCTTCTTGTATATGTTTATCGGCTTTGGCGCCACTATTGCCTGATATAACTGATTGACAGCCAGGAAGCAATTTCTTCAGCCAACCACTGCCGGTTATATGGTCTGCATGCATGTGTGTATTGACTGAAGAAATCAAGTTGTTATATGTATAATTAATGTAATATAATTGTAAATGTGGATTTATTGCTATTATTAATGTTATGGCTACTTGGTTGCTATTGGAAATAGTTTTCTACAATTATTGGTTTGCGTGATGTTTGCTTGTAAAAGTTTGTAATTAAATGTTAGTAAAGCAAAAAAGTGATACGCCATGGATATATGTGTATAGATAATTAGGACAAACAATGTCCAGTAGTTAAATTAACTCCACGAAAGTGTTTGCTATATTTCACAAATTTGGTGAAATCATTTTTTTGATTTGTTATATAATTAGCTAGAACACGATAAATACGTTAACTTCATTTAATTTATTTAGTTAGTTACCATATTAGTATTTTTATAATTTTCTTGTTCATAAACATTTAGCTAATATATCTAAATATATCTATGGAAGAAAACATTGAAAAATATTTAAATAAGCTAACATCAAAAATGCTGATTCACGATGATCATTGTAAATTGTTTTTATTTTATTCATTGCTCATCAGAACAGTTTACTCTCTTCAACCTAATATTTCATATAAACATGTTTTATAGTTCAAAGGAAATTTGATCAGATTCTAAAATTATTTTCAAAATTTATAACGAAATTAATATTCATTGAATTTTTAGGTTTTAAAGGTCAGTGAAAGGGCGTTGAGCTCCAAGATATATTTTTAATTCTTAATAATTTCAACTCTACTTTTGGAGTACCTATATGTAAGCTATATGTATTGAATTTGGGTTTGAAAACCTTAAGTGATTTTTTTTAATTAATATTTTAAATTCATAATACTATTTGTTCTGCTATATATGTGATCTTATCATATATTTTATTAAATAAGTACTAAATTCGCTTTAAAAAACATAACTTTATCAAAATATTAATTTTTTGGGTAATATTCCACTGGTTAATCAGTAACCAAATTAGTTAAATAAAATCTAGATTTTATGATAACAATGGAAAAAACAAATGAAACGAAATAGTTAATAATATTTCCTAATTATGTTCTTAATTAAACATTTTTTCGCACTGATTCTGATAAAAATATATGTAATCAAAAAGTTAATATAGTTATCATATCGAAATATTTAGATATAAAGCTGGTATAGTTTATTGGCATACCATTAACAATATTACTTCAACAAAACTTTTTCTTAATAATACTGAATATTTCATATGTAACAATTTTATACATACGTGCATATTTTAGTGTTAATCCCAAATCCTCAACCAATTTTGCATCACGCTTGGCCTGCTCTAAGACAGGATCAATTATAACAGCTTCGTGTGTGTTGAGATCAGCTAAAAGGTAAGTGTATGTGCTACTTTCCGTATCGAAAAGCTTAAAACAGAGTTGTTTAATATTACATACTTTATAAAGCCAGTTTTAATTTTAAAGAATAATATTTAATCAGTTTATTGTAAATATATAACCACATGAAAATATTCAATACAGTGTATGTATTTTTGGGTATGTTTATATACACTTCACAATAACCTGACGCTTTATTTTTAGTACACTTTTAGTAGACTTACCTGTCGGAAGAAGAAATCGTTTGAAAAAGAAATGCGTGGTAACATTTTGGAATCTGCACTGCAATGGTGTAAGCGATATTTGTTTAAAAGTGGCGCAGTAGTTGGATTTAACGTTACAAATTTATTCGACTGCAACACTCCACGCCTAACTGCTGAAAGCAAACTGAGCGATGGTAATTTCATATTTTTGCTTTTTTAACTTTACACAATCTTCGGCGATAGTAAAACTTATTATTTGTTGTTGTTGTTGTGGTTTCAGCTGTTATTGCTTTTGTCGGCTAATCAAAATGATTGCTCAGTGAGTAACTTTGTTTGTGTATTGTAATAAAAACGCTTCGAAGTTTATTAAGTTTTGTTTTATGATTTAATTATTTATACACTTCTGTTTTGCTTCTTCGTTTCTACAAAGTATTTTTTGTTATTAAATTTTTATTGTTTCTATATTATTATTCTTGCTTTGATTCATTCATAAAGCTGTTTTTTCTTAAAACAAATATATTTTGTTTTTGTTTTTATTGCCAAAACGTGCCATGTAAAAATA